TATGTTATTAAAATATTATATAATATTATAATAAATACGTTATACTATAATTACTAATTAATATTATATAATAATATATTACATAATATTATTAATATATGTTATTAAAATATTATATAATATTATAATAAATACGTTATACTATAATTACTATTATATAATATTATTAATATATGTTATTAAATTATGTTATTAAAATATTAAAATATGTTATATTTTATATACATATCATATATTTATAATATAATTAGCATGTATTATTTAAGTAATACAAAAATATTTTAAAATTATCCCAATTGTCTTCAAAGTGGAACAACATTGTTCTATTATGGAGGATGGGGTAAATTTAGGGTAATTATGAGGAAGGGGTGGAGGGGATCTTTATATAGTTGGTGTAATTTAGGGGAAAGTGGAGTATTTGTCCCCTAATTACCCCAACAAACCAATAACACCACAAAGTTGACTCCAATTCCAATTACCCTAATGAATAACACCAAAAAGTAATGTTCCAAAAATTATCACATTATCCCCCAAATTACACCAATGAATAACCCCCCATTAGGGCTTGTTTGGATTGAGGGGAATGGGGGTGAAGGGAAGTTAGGGGAACCATTCACCTCCATTCACATTATTTGGGAACACTTAGGAGGTGAAGTTAATTCACCCTAGTTCCCCTTGGTTCACCCCCTAATAGTATTTCTTCTTCGACGAGCAGCGTTCTTCTTGGCCTGTTTTAAGGCTTTAGCAGCAACGTCGTTGACGTTTATGAAGCTGGTCTCCTCCAGAGGCCGTTTGTGGCCTGAAGCACGTCTTGCTGACGCGAAGGTGGGATATTCAACTCGCTGTGCGAGTTCAGCAGAGGTCGAGCCCGCTCCTGGAGCATAGTATAAAAATTGTTACCCCCAAATTAGGGTGTAACCAAGGGGAAGGGAACTCCCTTCCCTTCCCTTCCCTTCCCTTCACTCAGTTTCCCTTAATTTTCCTTCACCCCCTACAAATCCAAACAGAAATCTCAATAGAACCATGTGAAAACGTTTAAAAAGAATGGGACAAGGTTGGGCGAGATGTTACTCGGGTCGAGCCCGCTCCTGGAGCGGAGGGGCTGTTCGACGAGTTTTGGCCAAAGGAGAGGACTTTCTTTGGCACTCCAGCAACAGTTGGAGATTTAGTCTCCTTGGAAACTTTGTAGATCTTGCGCATAGCCTTGGGGCTAAGGGATCCAGAGGAGATAGCCTCTTCGAACTTGGCTTGATCGAACTCTACCACGAGAGTTTCGACGATTGTTCCAGTAAGATGAACATCGGATTGCACCACCACTTCTTCGTCACAGAAGCTCATTGTGGTAAAAATTGCAAAGAAGAGAATAAAGAAAATTTGATTTGTATTTCTTTGATTCCGATTACAACTTGATTACAAAAGAGAGGAGAACGAAATTGGTTCTTCCTCTTTGTTTAAAACTGGGTTCTTCACGGTGGCGATGGAGTGCCTCCCTCGAATGCTCGCGTCGAGTTTGCTCTCCGTTGACGATCCGCACGTCTTGATTCACTGGAACGATGTCTTCTCCTCACGATTTGACGTTGTGGAGAACTTGCGTGGCAAGTTTGAGAACTCAGAACGAGTGATAACTCAGATCGAGTTTAGAAACTCAGAACGAGTTTAAACTCTGTAACAGAGTTGATTTGAACCGAAAATCGAATAAGCCAAGGCTAGAGGCTCCCTGTTGCTGAAGTTGAAGATGATCTTCGTCGGAAGATGATGCTGATCTCCTCCAAAAAGCCTGTCTCCAGTGGTCGATCCAAGCCCAGAAAATCCAACCGAAAAGCCTGCTGCCAATTCTCAGATCCCAAAATGCCAGCCCTTAACTCAGTTGAGTTTACTCGCTTTTATAGGGGATTAAGAGGGTGTAACTGCCCTCTAAATCCGCTCCTAAGTGGGCGTGATTTCCTCAGATCGTGGGGAAAACGGTTCTGAAACAATTCTCAGATCCCAAAATGCCAGCCCTTAACTCAGTTGAGTTTACTCGCTTTTATAGGGGATTAAGAGGGTGTAACTGCCCTCTAAATCCGTTCCTATTGGGTGTTGGCTGAACACTGATGAACGCGAGGGTCGCTCGCGTTTTGGTTTGTTGTAGCTTAGAAACGCGGGGGTCGGTGTTGGCTGGACCCCTACGAACGCGAGGGTCGCTCACGTTTCGCCTGTTGTAACGCGGGGTTCGACCCTGGCGTTTTGATGTTGTGACGCACTGATGAACGCGAGGGTCGCTCGCGTTTTGGTTTGTTGTAGCTTAGAAACGCGGGGGTCGGTGTTGGCTGGACCCCTACGAACGCGAGGGTCGCTCACGTTTCGCCTGTTGTAACGCGGGGTTCGACCCTGGCGTTTTGATGTTGTGACGCGGGGTTCGACCTTGGCGTTTTGATGTTGAAACGCGGGGTTCGACCCTGGCGTTTTGATGTTGAAACACGGGGAGGACCTCCGCATCTTGCCTTGCAGAGATTATCACCAAGTAATCTCTTTTTGTCATAGCGTTGCAAATATCATTGTCTTGTAATCTTCGTCTTGGCTCCTTGAGAATATGAGAGTCGTCAGATTGTAACTCCCGATGTTGATTGTGAAGGCTGTTGAAGTAGAGCTCTCATCGGTTGTCGTGAAGGTCGTCAGATTGTAACCTTCAGCAATCTACGCGAAAGTCTTCAGATTACAGCCTTCTGGAAGTCGTCAGATTGTAACTTCCATCATCGGTGTTTGATGGGGGGGTAAGCTATCTATTGTGATTTTTAGACAGCCTACACCTACTTTCAAATCGGACTTCCCTTTCGATAAACGAAAGGCCTCCACCCCCATTAAATGACCAAACCTATAAAAGATGAGGTCGTCTCAATACCTTCTCTCAGTCAAAACCGCCAAACGATTATGACCAAAACCGGGATCTCGGTTCGATAAACGAAAAGCTATCATCCTTCCCTCTTCAGCTAATCCTATAAAAGTTAGGGTTGAAGTCATAATTTCATCTCGATAAACGAAAAAACTCATTTTTAGGTCAGATAACCAATCCTATAAAAGTTAGGGTTATCTGAATCATTCGATTCTCGGAGTGGAGATCTCACTCTTAGTTTCACCTCACAGATTCTTGAAGTGGAGAGTTTGTTTCGAGTTCTTTTTGTAACCGGAGATAGAATATAAATTTCTTCCTCTCCGGTATGGGGTCGACTTCTGCCCAAAAAGAAGGTCTGGAGATAGAATATAAAATTCTTCCTCTCCAGTGTCGGGTTCATCTTTGTCTCAAGAGAAGACACCATATTCAAACACCATAATCCGTTATTATGAGAATAATGGAGGTGAGCTGGCAGCTCACCTCTCCCCGTGAGCTGCAAGTGTATGACATGTGAGCCCCCTACTAGTCACATCGGTGTGGGGCTCACATGTCATACACTTGCAGCTCACGGGGGTAGGTGAGCTGCCAGCTCACCTCCATTATTCTCATATATATATATATATATATAGAAAGAGAGAGAGAGAGAGGCAGCTGCAAGTGTATGACATGTGAGCCCCCTACTAGTCACATCGGTGTGGGGCTCACATGTCATACACTTGCAGCTCACGGGGGTAGGTGAGCTGCCAGCTCACCTCCATTATTCTCATATATATATATATATATATAGAAAGAGAGAGAGAAAGACGGAGGGAGCGAATAATTGGTATGAGGTGAAAGATAGACTGCTCATATATAGATCGAAAGATGCATAGTTGCATACTCGCCAAACGCACTGTTTCTTTATTTCTTCTACGGATGAAATATCATTTATCTATCGAATTATAGTATACACGCATATAGAATAAATCTTTTAACCTACATATGTTTCATATATCCATTGAATATCACTAACATACGTCCAGGCTCCAGCCAACTGGATTGCGATGACACCATTGTGTGAGCTTTTGAATCCATTCCTTAATTAGAAGGGTTCGATCTGGCTACCAATTTATCAATACATGTTACATTATTCTCCTTAATTAAAGCTGGCATATTTTTAGCTTTTAGTCCCGGTGGTCCGCACGCGGATCGATCCCCTATCAAAATACAAGTCAGGCGCCCGTTTACTTCATCCCTCTCTTTAAAAATTTCCCCTTTACTACTTTCATATTGCATTATTCCCAAAAAAACAAAAGGGATTATACACTGAGAATTTTTATTTCTCAAAGTCTGGTTTGTATGGTAATCTGCTCAGTATGTGCTAATTACTTGAATTGGTAATTACAGCCCACATTGAAACGCGTTTCCCTAGTAACATTTATTTCTTTCCCATTATTCCTTTCGAATTCTCCAATCCCATGCATTCCACCTCACTTTTCCAAAGATTCATTGCCCCTAATAAACCAAATAAGGAAAATCACAACCCCGGCTCATCTATATAAACGCCATTACCATCAATTCCTTAATAACACAAATTAAACCCTCATAACCTATCTCCTTCTTCCGTTTTAATTTTTTTTTTTTAAATTTAAAAAAAAGCAATGAAAATGAAACTAGCCGTAGCGATAGCCTTATCCGCCCTTCTTCTCTCAACAGCAGAAGCATCGCCCGAGAGCAGTGGCCGATGGAAGATACTCAACCGCAACATCGGCATCTCGGCAATGCACATGCAACTCTTCCCCAACGACAAGATCGTCGCCTACGACCGAACTGACGCTGGCCTTTCAAACATATCCCTCCCCTTCGGCGATTGCCTCAACCTCACGAAAGGGGTCGACTGCACGGCCCACTCCATCGAGCTCAACCTCGCCAACCGCAAAGTTCGACCCCTGATCGTGACGACCGACACGTTTTGCTCTTCAGGCGCATTGCTATCCAACGGTACTCTCATTCAAACTGGAGGTTACACGTCAGGCGAGCGTGCTGTTAGATACTTGTCGCCCTGTGACAACTGCGACTGGATAGAGAATTTACATGGTTTAGCAGTGCGGAGATGGTATTCGACGAACCACATATTGCCAGATGGAAGAGTGATAATCGTTGGTGGTCGGGATCAGCCCAATTACGAATTTTTCCCCAAGTATTCCCCGTGGGAACTCAACCACACCTTCCCCCTCCCGTTTCTCAGTGAGACTACGGATCACAGAGATTGGGAGAACAATCTCTACCCCTTCGTTCATCTGTGCCCCGATGGCAATCTCTTTGTGTTCGCCAACACAAAGGCGATACTGCTCGATTACGTCAACAACAAGGTGGTGAAGTATTTTCCCGATATTCCCGGTGGAATCGCTCGCAATTATCCGAGTACAGGCTCATCCGTGCTCTTACCAATGTCGCTCAAAAGCAATGTGACGCATGCGAGGGCAGAGGTGATGGTCTGTGGTGGATCGGAGCCCACTTCGTTCTGCAATGCGAAGAACGGAACCTTCTTGCCTGCATCAAACACTTGCGGACGACTAGTGATCACCGACGAGGCACCACAGTGGCAGATGGAGGAAATGCCGATAGCTAGAATAATGGGCGATATGATACTGTTGCCAACTGGCGACGTGCTGATTATCAATGGCGCTGGAAAAGGGAGTGCAGGGTGGGAGTATGCGAGGGATCCCGTAATGCATCCGGTTCTATATAAACCGGGAATCATAGGCAACGAAGGTCGATCTTTCGAGGTGTTGAGCCCGTCGTTGATCCCTCGAGTCTACCACTCGACCGCACATTTGGCATCGGATGGTCGAGTGTTAGTCGGGGGTAGCAACGCACACAAGGAGTACAGGTTTTCTGGAGTGCTGTTTCCTACCGAATTGAGCATGGAGGCATTCTATCCTCCCTACTTTGGAAATAAAGGACTGGGACTCACTAGACCTCAGATTATAACACTAGAGCCTGGGGATGATTTTGGATACGGTGTTAGACTCTGCATCGGCTTTACAGTTGTAGGATTGAGTAGTGATGTTTTGAAGGAAGGGGTGACCGTGACAATGGTGTCTCCTTCGTTTACGACGCACTCGTTCTCCATGAATCAGAGGATGTTGGTGTTGGAGGTTGAAAGGTTCAGTCGCATTCGAGGAGAGCGATACGAGGCGATTGTGGTTGCTCCCGCGAGCACAGCGCTGGCTCCCGCCGGATACTATATGTTGTTTGTGGTGCACGGAGGAGTTCCTAGCCAAGGCAAGTGGGTTCATATTGGACAGTGGTGACAATTTAGTGAATAATGGCTGCTCGTAGTTTTTTAACTTTTTACATATTTTACTGTAGGGTGATTCAAGCGATATTATGCTTATTGATAATAATTAATTTACTGATTCTGATTTAAATGCTGATTTAAATGCGATGCCATTATATGATGTACCCGTGATCCATTGCACGTATATATTCAGCGCAGCAGCATTTGATTGTTTTAGAGTCTTAAACTTCAATTATTACTGCTAATTCTTGAATTGGACTCTCTCGAACTACGTGGCTATCAGTATTGTATATTACGATCAAATTCAATAACGACCCACAAAAGGTACTAGTGAAACAGCCTACTTGCATGCCTGCAGTCTGTTCTTTTCTCGAAGTGGGCCTGCCTGTGTGACCCATGTTAGTGGGCCTGACAAGCACCTCATCTGACGAACAATTTAATTTTTTTCTTTTAAAGAAAAGAAAAGATGGAAGATTCAACTCCATCGTATTGGTGCAGACGCTAAACAAGAAGATAAATATTCATATCTGCCCCTCTTTAATAACACGGAGTATAGAAATGACCCTCAACAAAAATATAAAGTCCAGGGAGCAGAGACATCACTCCTGTGCCGCAGGAGACTACATTTCCAAAACCGAATGCAAACACATACTCGTAACTTATCAAACACAAGTAGCGCGCTTAATATATATGACATGCAAATAGATGAGCTAAATAACAAACAGATGAATGTAATTTCATGTGTTAATATACTCTTATCAGACGTCATGCATACATATGCAGCTTGTAATCTACTGAGTTCAATAGCGCTCTTATTGAAGCAGTATTTTCTTTTTCTTCTTTTTTCCCCCTGACGTAAAAGGTGTTATAATTATGGCATATCTACGTTAAACTCCAGCCCTTCTTTCAACATACCAATAAAAAAGAAGGGGGTAAAAAAAGAATAGTGATGAAGGAACTAGCTATTTCAGTAAGAGAAACAAGCAAGGAAGAAAATGGGGTTGCGCAGTTGGAAGCCATCCTAAATTACCCATTATTAGTCGGTCGATCTCTATGGGGTTCTCGCCTGTATAGCTAGGTTGAGGATTCACAACCGCCCACCCACTTCTCAGTTATTGTTGTGGTTGCAAAGCAGCGTTCGCCTTGGTGTTAATGAAAAGTTGCAAGTACTAAAACGAGAAGGTTTTTAATGCGGGCTTTCCATCTGCCTCCACCTCCCATTACGTGTATATATATAAACAATAAGCACTGACCTTGGTCCGTGTTCCTTGCTTGCATGAATATATGATTTTATGTGGCTGGCACCTGATTAACAAGCATACACACAGACAAAGGAATCTGAACTATTCCAAATGTGTTAAGGGGACAAAAAAGAAAGAAAAATTGGAGAACAACATTACGTGCGTGATAGCGTTTATTGGTTGGCAATTGGCGTCCTCTCCGTCTTCATGTGAAAGAAGCGTCTCTTTTGTAGGCCCAGATTAGAAAAAAGGCCCGATCCTTTCTGGTTGGTTGGATTGTTTTGAGTGGCGCACTTCCTGACGAAGGCCCACTAAATATGATACTGTTTACGGACCGCTGGCTACCTTTTATATATGTATTCGTACATTTTTTTTTCACCCACGTGAGGAAACGGCCTTCACACTTCAGGGTTCCGGACCAACCTGGGCTGTATCCATCCATTTTTTCTTTCTTCGACCTTTTTTATCTGGCCCAACCTTAGACAGAATTAATTACGTAAGGGTTTACCTAAATACACATCCACGCATTGTAGCCTTTGTAGGGATTAGGAAGGGCCTAGATATCCTATTTCAGTCCAGATTCCAAGAGTGGCAATGGGCCTAGGCTAGATGGAGGCCTATGAAGGCCCACATTTCAGCCCAAGTTCTGTAGGAGCAGTAACAGAGGCTTCAGTTCCGGCCCAGGGCTTTCAAAACCGCAATTCAGTAAGAGAGTACGAAACACTAGGAGTGAAGGTATTTTTGACCATAAAGAGGATGATTAAAACTTCCTAAACGTTCCTCTACTTTCCCCGGGAATGGCTCAAATACCCTATCCGTACAAGGCTGTTCTGATATCCTTTGCAATCTGCTTAAGACCCTTAAGAATTTGGTTTTGGCCCTTTTGTTCCCGGAAACTAAAATTTAATACACTGACATAACCTTTTAAACAAAAGATTTCAACGCCGTTTGTCATTACATCACTACAACTAGACATACAAACACCTGTAAAATTAACAAATTCATACTTCAATGAAGATACATAAAAATAAGAAATCGACAAACCTGACTAACACCGTCTTTTGTTCGAGTAGCAATAACTATACTACTAAATCTAAACTACTCCTGTACTGTAAGAAACAAAAGCGCAAACTCGCCATTTGCTAAGTATAGGCAGTATCCCCAACCAAATTATGAAGGGGTCGGAACTAGGGGTGCAAAAAAAAAAATATCCGTATGCAAGGAAAGAGTCATTTTTGTACCCGTCAGGTACAGATATGTAGTGGAATATTCGAATCTATATCCAAAATATTCCAATATATGTTGGTCATACAGTTGCACTTGTTTTAATCCTTATATTAACGAGTTTGAGGTTAGTTTTGATGATCAAAAGATCTAATCTTAGTTTTTCAGATATGACGAAAATACTAATGAACTCTCTTGTATCATATGAACTACATTCTTTCAATAAAACTTGGTTTTCTCACATCCGTTTTCTATCTGTATCTGGGATATGGTAATTATCATATCCGAG